GTGATCGTGTCTATTGATAGTTTGCTGTGCCTATAATATCTCAAGTGATAGGTACCAAGGGGTTAAGATGATGAATTGTAGTTATGTAGGGTAACAATGTAGTTATGTAGGTAACAATGATTAGCAACTGAACACGGAGAGATTTAACCGCTGTGACCAATGCATTGGAGAAAACTGTTCTGGAAATAAAGCCGACGACTCTCTACGGCACCAATTTACAAAGTTAGAGAACTGATTCGCTTAATGACTGACTGAGAAATAGACAGTAGACTTCCAGAACTGATGGTTAGATTTATTTTCAGTTTGGAAAACTCCTGACTCTGTTAGACTCTAACCACTCCCTCAAACGGAGGCTCTCAGTTAGTCACCTAACAGTCCGCGCTTAGCTCTATTCGTGCAACTAGCCATTTACTTAGGTGTATTATCGGTATGCAGTTGACCATAGTGTTTCTTATGACTACTGACACCTACTTCCTTTTGGTTCCGAGTACGTTTAAACAGAGAAAATCCAGGAACACACACATGATGCAACACTACCATGACCTTTGTAAGGGAGGGAAATTACGTTAAGTTCATCAGATCATAACTAAGGGCAAGTAATTCATAGATCAATCTCCAAGTTAACTGTTACACACCTACCCGTAGTAGACCCCACGTACTTGTTTAGTCAGAAATCAAGATAATATGTACTACAGGATATCATACTACTTCAAACGTAATGAAGGATTGCTAAGATCTGCTAACTGACAAAAGACAGAATCTGGCGATGCAGTTTAGTGTTTAAACCATATAACCATAATCTGAATAGCATGACGAGATTCATGTGACCATGCAAGTAAGAAAGCGAGTATAAATATCGCTGTCTCGATGAAAATATTAGGCTTGGCTCATGTAACAGCGACAAACAGAAAACACGGGATTTCATCAGGTATTATGTTCAGCGACTACAAACATTAGTCTGAGATGGTTCACACGTATATGAGAGTGATAAAATGAATCACTGACCTTAATTTTCAAGTAAACAGAATTTATTATACTCGCTGTTCAGCCAAGTCGATTGCAAAATTACCACTGAGAAGTACAAGTTAAGATGAATGATTTCCTCTGCTTATAACAAGCGATATAGGAGGCTCAAGATCCATCCTTAGATTATTAGTCATGAAATACATAACTGACAAATTCACACTTGCCATGACTTACACATTTTTGCTTCTAATGTATTGTTAAACCTGACTCAAACATAACCAATCGAAGCATTTACATTATTGACAGACCACACAAAACGAATCATGTGGCATTAACGGGATATAAAGAATGGAATTGCTCGGTAGACTAGCATGTGACCAATATTGAGTTTGAACCCTTTTAATTTGAGGGAAGTAGCAGAACAAATGCCAGGTGGTTCTATCGCTTCACCACAGTAAGTTAATCTAGAACGTATTTTAAATGAGGTGATCTCAATGCAAACCACTTCTCGCACATAACTAGATTCTCACAAACAGTGGAATTGCGGAAGTTATCGTTGTGGAAAATCCCTATCATATTAAGACGCAGATAAACGAACGAAGAATAAACGTTTCAATAAATTCTCTGCAGGTTCCACAATTGTATATACAAATTAATATCCATAAAATTGACCAGGCCTAAGGCATTGTACATCATTTAAAATTATAGCATGTGGATTTAAGATCTTTTTTAATATCAGACAAATTCGTCCATGTCAGGATGACTAACATTAAGTGTTGACTTGGATAAATTTATACGTAAGATGAAACTCTGAGATAAATGCTGAAAATAAATATGGTTAATATGGAGAGAGACGATAGTGTCATTACAAACTGGAGCTTACGCAATACGTATAATACTACGAATTAGACAATTTTTAGATAGGGGTGGATGTTGAATAAATACCTCAAAAAGACTAGCAAGGGTGGTTATAATAATGATAAATAATAATAAATATGTGATTAAGATAAGTTTAGGATATGAAAATGAACAATAATATAATTACGTCACCCCATCATAAAAATGACTATTAACTAATTAAAATAGAAGTTGGCCAAAGTAAAATTTGCGGTTGAACTTATTTGTTCTGGACGCCAAACTCCGACATTTTTAACCGAATAGCAATCGCTTCAGTCATCTGAAGGATTTAGGCAGTACAATATGTTATTATGAATGATTGTTCAATTTTGGCTGTAAAGCCCTATGTATTAAATGAGCAAAAATCGAGCTGTCAAAAGTTTTAACTATATCTTTGCTTAACGTTACTAGGAGACACTTGCGAGCACGAAAATACAAATTCTTAGAACACCTGTCAATATAATTCGCTCCACAAGATTGATACTGGAGGCGGCTAGTCTAAGTAATATATCTTTCATTATCGGATGTGTAGAACACAATGACTGTAATTTACCTACAATAAAAGTTGTTTTGAGTTGCTCTGTGCACCTTTAGTAACAGCAATTTTAAGGCTGCGTAACCTCTAAATTATAGGCGCATATACAAAAGCATTTCGCTCACAGTTCAGCCTTCATTTATTACCCGAATAGTTTTAAATAAGCTTGGTTGACGAAATGTTAGAATTTTCAGATTTTAATTGTTGAGATCTTACAAACATTTTTCTAATATATAATACTAGAAATGTTAGCAAAATCTTACGTTTTACAGTCACATTTAACCTGACTGACTCAAGGCTCTTTACTCGAACACTGCTAGTCTAGTCAGAGCTTATGGTGAAATGCCATCTGATTTTTCAACCCCAAGTGGTGTCCGTCAAGGTTGTCCACTATCTCCATTTTTGTTCAACTTCATCATAGACCTACTGGTGAGAGTAACATTCTCGTCGACTGAATTCTCGGGTATTGATCTCCTACCAGGAGGTCCGTTTATCGATTTAGAATACGCAATGATATAGTCCTGTTTGGTGAAGACGCTGATAAAATGCACAGGATGTTTGTGATGCGTTTCTCTCGCCCTAATTGCGAATTGTTGCTTCAGGACTGGTTCGCGTCAACACCTGAACTAAGGATAGGGAGTGAAGTAGTCGAACGCGTTGACAACTTCACTTATCTTGAAAGTCTGATCAGCCGTAATGGGTTGATGTCCGACGAAATCTCTGCACGGATTCGAAAAGATCGTTTGGCTTTTGCCAATTTACGTCACCTATGGCAAAGGCGAAATATCCGTCTCTCAATTAAGGGACGAGTATACTACGCAACAGTTCGATCTGTTCTTCTTTACGGCTGCGAATCGCGACCATTGAGAGTAGAAGATACTCGTAAGCTACTAGTATTTGACCACAGATGTCTTAGAAATATTGCTGGCATCTGCTGGGCTCACCGGGTAAGTAATAGTGAGGTTAGACGTAGGGTATTGGGGAATGATGGTAAATCAGTTGATGAGGTTGTGAATCTTCATCGACTGAGATGGTTGGGCCACGTGTTACGTATGCCTGAACATCGATTACCACGACGCGCAATGCTAACCGGTGTTGGGGATGGTCGGAAGAAAGTTAGGGGCGGTCAAACCAAAACGTGGCATCAGCGCTTGAAGTCACTAACTTCTGGTCTCAACCATGTTGGTAGATGAAGACTATTTGGTTGATGTCCGTGCGAATATCGTAACCAGCGGTTGGAGACTGTGGGTGACATGGCTCAGAATTGATCACAATGGCGTCGGTTTATACAATCTTTGTCTTCCCTTAAACTAAGAGATTAAAATCGCTTCATATCTTTCTACGTACTAATATATATATATATATATATATATATATATATATATATATATATATATATATATATATATATCACTACCATTGAAGTAAGTACTATTAATCCAGTGTGGCAACTTGGACCGATGGATATATGTGCCTGGTCCAGAAGTATATGCTAATTGATCACCTTCAACTATACTGTGAACCGCGCTGAAGATTTTATGGCGACAAGTTAAGATCAACAAAGAAACAGTACAATAACCGTATTTTTTAAAAGTTGGTTTCTTTGATATAAACAGTGACTGGATTGATGATGGTAACAAACTATCCAGAATCAATTAGTTTAAAAACACTATTGACAAATGTTTTATAGCCCACACTCAAAAAGCACGGGAACTTTGATGTATAAATTGTATATTTGAAAAATTCCCATATTATAAATTAGGACGCCATATATAAGCGAACAATATTGTTTTCGATTAGATCGTCATCAGGCTTTACTCTAATATACAGTAATATTTATATACATATACGAAATTATTGAACCAATTAAGGTAGTTTGTGAGCCAATGACAACAATGTAATAGATTAAATAAATATACATAATAGGTAAGAGGTACAAAGTGATAGTGAAAACAGGTGTACTAGTTGTGATAAGAATAATAAGTTTCATAATGAGAAATAGATCAATGATTGAAAAATGTAGACACTGAAATAATATTCATAAAATTATAAGATTATGTAATAAGTGTTCAGATAATTGAACAATGAGGCGTGTATAAAAAAAGGTGGGAGGTGGTGAAGAAAAATAAGCGAACAAAGAGTATGGAAAATAATTACAAATAAAACCACTTAAGGCCAAGGGAGAGACAAGGGTGTTGCAAATTGCTTATGAATACAAAGACTTGGGTTGTTAGCTCGAATTCATATAGCTTCTGATATATGTAAGAGATGAGATCGAACCCCATAAGGAAAATTGGTAAGAATACGATAGTAATTTCGTACATACATATAAATAATACTGTATATTGGAGTAAAGCCTGATGAAGATCAAGTCGAAAACAATATTGTTCGCTTATATATGTTGTTCTAAATTATGTCTGTAAAAAAACTAATTCAAAGTGTTCACCATATAAAAAGTTTAAATCGCCTCGAGCTACTGCACAACTAAACTCAAATTTATATTAGCATATGAAAGATAAAAACACCAAAAATTCTTCAACATAAAAATGATATTAGTTTTCAAGAGAAAACATGTTGATCGATTAACGTTAACATTCGTGGCTTAGTATGAAGTAGTCAGTGAATTGATTCTCTCTACAGAAGACCAAACATAAATTGAGCCATTCCCAGAACCAACCACCAAAACATCATTATGGTATTCCAGCTGCAAAAAGGTGAATAAAAGAAATTGTTTTCATGAGAAGACTTATGAATCGTTTGAAAACTGATCATATTAGTAATAAGAATCTGCTCTTCAGTCCGTGAAACCACAGAGACTTAATAATGAGTTTTTTCCACAATCATTGAAGAGCAGTAAATTCAAATCATAAGGTTAAAGTGTGTTTGAAATGACTCATTGTTTACTTTTTAATAACTCCTTAAAATCACATAGTTAAAAACATGATCGATTGTATATGTTCGATACTCCAGAAAACAACAAAGTTAAGATCACGTTAGATGATCATATACCATTTGCCCGAATAGTGTTAACAGTTATTATAGTTGGATTATTTAATCTTATTAAAGCATAATTCACCTAAAAATGCAGTCCTCAGATTAGGCTAAGATAACTTTAAAAATCTGTGTGAATTCACAGTAATTGGAAATAAACACTGAAAAGAACATATTTTTGATTACCTAAAAATGTCATACTCGAAGTGAAACAAGCAAGGGATAAAGTTATGGAAAAATGTGGTCAAGAAATGTCAGCTTACTAAAATAAAAACATAATGAGAATTCTGAAATAAAAAGGTCGGTGAAGACCAACATAAAAACACTTTTGTGCTTGAAGATACTTGTTTTCTCGTACAACCATAACTCAACGACAGTCTGTTATATACTAACAACTTGCTAAACGATTTCACTATAATCGTCATTAAACAGACTATTTTCGAAACAGACATCAGAAGGGAATCGTGCCAATCTTTGGGATTTTTTTAAAGAAGGAGTTGGGTACAGCACATTACCAATTTACTTTGAGCTAGATCCAATAGGGCCATGAACAGACCTGTTTACTTGTTTGGGTTACACCAATCATGATAAAACACAGATGTGAAAAACCTCGGAGTTAGGACAAATAACTTACTGGTAGATTGTATATTGTCTACATAAACTTTCAGCTAAGATAACATTTTCATATGATATTATGTAAAACATGAGTATTATTTAGAAGAAAAAACGGAATGAGAAGATGGAGAAATTAGTAAACAATCATATGTCAATATTTAATTTTCCGAAAGCACACAATTATTCATTTGCATTCAGGGATAATTTCTCAGATGAAGGATAGGTGCATAGTTTCATTAGTCACCATCAATAGGTACAGTTAGTACGAAATGATGTTGTGAAAGAAATTGAATAACTTAATGAGATATGGAGTAAATGACAACATCAGAGGGTCCGCGGATGACTACTATTTTTAAGATATCGGATATATTACTGCTATGAATTTTCATATTACGACCCAGCTAATGTTATTGCTTAGTATTCTTGAACACTACTTCATTCGACAAGTCTCCAAAGCAGAACAAGGCTGAGCAGGAACGTAATTATATTTCAAGTAAACAAGAATAAATGGAAATAGAAATCACAAGAAAAACAGTATATTTACAACTTTTACACAAGGAGATTCTAGAGTATTCTCCAAGTACCTACAAGTGCTGATGGATTAAGAAATAGCTAATCAGCGTGCCTAAACACAATACAACACAGAACACGCTTTAATCCAATACTATATCCTGGTAACAATGACCGCAGTTCAAAAAAATAATGGACAGCCTTGTACTGATTTGAAATTCCAATGGATAGACTGAAACCTGACGCGAAATATTCAAGGTTGATGAGCAAATAACAAGATCAAGATGACAGTCGATACATAAGTTATTCTATTACTGATTACAGCTACTTTATTTACCAATTAAAACAAATAGTTACGCGATAATAACAGAGATCGCAATATCGTATTGAAAATAAATCAATTTGCGTCTGTAAACTAAAGGCAAATCATATACAATAAATTGTAAATTATACTAACAACAGTATATGAATAGATTGTAAAAATGTGACGAAAACATGATTGATTATTTTCGTAGATTCAGTTACATAGCCATAAAATTATCTTTCATGAATTGAAACTGAGAAACCACTAATTTTCAGTAAAAATGACGGCCTACGATTCGAGTTTTTGAAAATTCATCAAATCGGGGTTACAGACACCTCCCGACCGTGGGTGAAGTTATAAAAGGTCGACCCTAAAAAAGTACATCCCGCCTTATCCCTTGGATTTCCGTCTCCGGCAGTCAGATCCCAACACGTACGGAGGTAACATGCAAATTACTCACAACAAGATCGTGTGTGACCGGCCACTAACAGTTGTCCCTTGGGTACTGCGGTCGCACTCACAGGTTATTAAGACCACTTCTAACTCAATTTCCTTTTCAGGTGCCTCCAGAAGAACCCTTCCACGGTGTGGGCAACAGGAAAGTGAAAACCTCCCTCAAACCTCTCGAGATCACTGTATTCATAATCAATCTCCCCCTTCAATTCCTGTTATTCCTCCTACGTCGACTTTCAACTATAAACTTCCTCCTCAAGTGTCGTCATGATCAACGATTCTAGTGCGCGAACTGCTATACCAGGTTTACTGAAACCGCTCCAAACTACACATTGAAGCCTTCAAGGTACGCACACTGCCAAATCGCCCAGCAGGCCTCCTTGACTGAGACTCTAGAATCTCGTACCATAAATGTATGTTGTTTCTCCGAAACACGCGTACAGGATTCTGTGGTCATTCACTTGACCTCAGTTCAGCTGGTCCTCAGCTACTCTGTGAATCGACTCACCATTCCCAGACAATGTGAATGGAATATTGAAGTAGGTCCCCCAAATCTAGATGAAGTTCAAAAGGCTATAGCTAATCTGAAACGAGGAAGAGTAGTTGGTCCAGATGGATTGACTCCACAGGTCTTTAAGTGTGGTGGTCCAATTTTAGCGATTAGGTTGAGTAATATTTTAGCTAAAATCTGGGAGTTGGACGTAATCCCATCTGACTGATTGCAATCACTTATCGTCCCAATATATAAGAGAGGGTTAAAATCATCCTGTGATAACCATAGAGGGATTTAATTAACTAATATAGCATCTAAAATACTAGCCTCGATAATTATCGGGCGCCTAGCTAAGACTCGTGAACTGCAAACACGAGAGAATCAAGCTGGCTTCAGACATGGTCGTGGCTGCATCGACCACATATTCACCATTCGTCAGGTTTGAGAACACAGGCATGCTTATCGGCGTCCGACAATGGTGGTCTTTCTTGACTTAAAAGCAGCATTTGACTCTGTTGACCGAGAGGTTCTGTGGCAGTGTGTGTCATTGAAAGGTGAACTTCAGAAGTACGTAAACCCTGTGAAGGCTCTTTACTCGAACATTGCTAGTCTAGTCAGAGCTTATGGTGAAATGCCATCTGATTTTTCAACCCCAAGTGGTGTCCGTCAAGGTTGTCCACTATCTCCATTTTTGTTCAACTTCATCATAGACCTACTGGTGAGAGTAACATTCTCGTCGACTGAATTCTCGGGTATTGATCTCCTACCAGGAGGTCCGTTTATCGATTTAGAATACGCAATGATATAGTCCTGTTTGGTGAAGACGCTGATAAAATGCACAGGATGTTTGTGATGCGTTTCTCTCGCCCTAATTGCGAATTGTTGCTTCAGGACTGGTTCGCGTCAACACCTGAACTAAGGATAGGGAGTGAAGTAGTCGAACGCGTTGACAACTTCAAGTATCTTAGAAGTCAACCTTTCTTATATATATATATATATATATATATATATATATATATATATATATATATATATATATATCACTACAATTGATGTAACTACTATGAATTCGGTGTTCATTTTGCTGTGTTAATGAAGCGTGGCAACTTGGACCGATGCATATATTTCCGTGATCCTATGTTGTAACTGACTGGCTGATAAAACATCTAATCAGGTAAATGAAAATGTTTTGGTTTACAGTATCACCATGTCAATATATAATTAAAAATTAGCACTGCTTTAATTTATTCTATTTGTTGAATCGTAATATTTCAAAATAAAATTGATTTGAGCTACTTTGGTGTGTGACAAAATGTTAGGTAGCTAACAGACGAACGTCCGTGAGCATGAACAAGTAACAGGTCGAGTATGCTAACAATAAAATGAAATTTTATTTTGAAATGAGTTGTACCAAGATATATGACAAAACCTAAACTCAATCACAAACTATTTAATTGAGGCTATACATTTACATCCGAAAGAAAACTTTGGAGTAATTAAGTAGATACTCATAAAGTGTGACAAAATTGCTATAAATCGATATCACTTAATAAACTTCGAATTATTGTATTAACATTTGAAAAAAACTTTAACAGAAGCTTTGTGTAACTGAGAAGTCGACTTTTCGTTAGCTTACGTGAAATTCTAGATATAAGATGGCAAAAAAAACAAAAATGTTGGTCGATTTATCTTTTAGTATACATTATAAAGGGAATACGGAATAAAAAATTAGATTTTTACATACACTTGTTGGAAAAGCATTAATTTTCTCGGCCAGAGGTCGTTTACTCAATGGCTTCACTGGATTGGTTGGATGATATGCTTCCACAGAACCATGCAATCCAGCAGCGAATATACATCCTAGTGTAGCCTTTAGGCCACCGAAACCACGATTCCATCCAGAAAGTTGGTTAGTCTAAATAATATTAAAAAAATCAGTAGTAAGTGATATACGCATAAGAACAGTGGAGTAACATATTGAATTTTTAGCTGATAAAGATCAAACACAATGGCCAATATCATGTGGTTTTTGTTTTCTAACATATGATCAATTTAAAACTATAGTTGAACTCAATACTCCCATTGTATTGGTGTAATGTAGCGTTTGGTATACAATTATTCAAGATAGCCAACATAAATAGAGATAAAAGACAACAGAATGTAATTAACTTCGAGAAAATTCGCTAGTTTTTGTTCAGGCAATTATGCTATCTTTTGAGACTCTATCCAGTGAGTTTAGTATATCCTACAATGCATCTGACACAAGTCATACAATTTACAGAATTACTTATTAATATAATCGCTTAAAAAATTCATTCAAACTACTTAAGCTGCGACGTATCGAAGAATCAACAACTCAACGATCGTACAACACTCCACAGTTGTCTGGGTCGGTAGAAGTTTAAAACCTCACAAACTTCCAATCCTTCCGGAGTTAACACTACAAACCTGACCTCAAAGTAGGTCAATAGATAGTTTCACTACACTCTGGTGGCGCTTTGAGGCCACCAAAGATATTATTTTCTAATGAACCTGATCACGGGAAGGTCAAATAGGTATTTAACTTTAGTTGAACAAAACCAATACGTGCACACAAATCTAAATTTTTGCCACACAACGAATTTGGTTAAACCAACAAAAGTGCATTAGTAATGTTCATAATTGAGACACTACTAGTCAGAGCTTACATATACACAGTTGAACTGGTTTTTTCGAATGTCGAACACGTGAATTCGATTCGGTGGTTCAGCAACCCATAATTCATGCTTATCCAAGAGAGACAGCTTTCTTGGGTAACGACTGAGCTGAAATGTTAAGATGGATGAGAAGTTACCATGGCTATCATATATAAATGCGTAAAATCTAGTCTTGTGAAATAAAGTACTCGAAAGAGTAATACATTATTGAAGAAAATAGATCAGAGCACATGATGTAACGAAATTAACCTAATATAGTACTGAAATATTTGGCATCTATACATAAAAAGTACTATAGAAGGACAGAGTTTAACTAATATGATGTCTGGAATATAACCCTCAATAATACTTCCATGCCTAACTAGAGTTCGTGAAGAGCGAACCAGAGAAAACTAGGTTGGCTTCAGACCTGGAGGTCGTTTATAGACCAAACATTTACCCTTCAGCAGGTTCTGAAACAGTGATACTTTTCAAAGTCTGATAATAGTTGTATTCCTTGATCTTCAGATGGAGTTCGACTCCGTTGATCGTGAGATTCTGTTGCAGTGTTTGACGCTAAAAGGTGTATCAAAGAGGAATATTAATGATATTTATTCCAATTAAACGCTAGATTCGCTTCTTAAGCTCTTCTAGCAACTTTTCGAATAAATTGAGCATTGGGTTCATTGTTATAAATAAAAATAATATATTTGTAATATCCCATTGAGTAGAAAATTGGATTTTCTGACGTTTCGTGGAGAGAAGTGGAATCCACAATAAACATCTCCTAGTTAGTTAGCCCCCAAATGCCCTGGTATGGTATGGCCGAGAGTGGGGAGAGTCCGCTCTCCCTCTCGAAATGCTCTCACATGACCACGCGTATATAGCCTCTGCCAGGGAAGTCCTACTCAATGCCTTCTCGTGGCGGGGGTGTTGTTTACGAAAATGAGAGGACGAAAAGCGAATGTCCGGCGCTTTAACCGGATTCCAAACCAATGGTGCACATGGGCTCCAGTATCCTACGGGAACAAATGGCGTATGAACCAATTGTTGGTCACCGGCTTCCATGGGACTGCATCTCTTTACGATGCTCCACAGCCTTGTGGATCAGACCTTCAGGTCGAAGGCTCGGGATGTGGCCCTCTAAGAAAACCACCTGTTTCGGTCTGGGCACCCGGACAGTATCACAGCCCTCACACATATCGAATGTGACTTGTAGGGCGCATATGTATTTGGTGCCTCCTTGTACCAATATCTATGTGTTAACATAAATAAATAAATAAGTTAGTGTGTTCACTGATATCTGAAATTAGCATAAATCGCAACTGGTACTGCGTTATGGTAGCTGTCACTTGTAGAATGATCATTTATTTCTGCCCAACTGTGTGTACGCTTATTATCGGCTTATTAAATAGAATCGGTCGGGCTTACGCTGCGTCAATTTATTATGAGGATTTCATGACACTCATCAATTAAATCATGACATCATTTCGGCAAAGTCTTGTGATGGAAATTTGTCATTCCAATTCATGCTTATTCAATTGTTAGATGCATGAAAACTAAAATATGCTGAATATAAATTCGAATGTAAAAGTATTCAACATCCTAATAAGCTCAACATAATTTAACCACTACTCTAAAATCTAGAATTAAATAACAATAATCACAGTATATGTGTAACTGATTTTTGTGACATCAATCCTTAAATCCTTATTTTAAACTTGAGACAAAACATCGGCTATGATGAGTGAAATGCTAAATTATCGACCCAATAGTTTACTATATCAAAAAGCCAATCTGTTTTCTTTGCAAGGCACGACGATAAAACATTCAATTATTGAGATAAAAGTGAATATTATTTGATCACTAGGACTTCTATTTTTGTTCTAAGAGTATTTGACTCATAACTAAAATGGCGAAACTGATGTTCAACATCAAGTGCACGAACTGAGCTATCATTACAGTATATTAGGAAAGTTTTTTAACTAGTCAATAGCAAAGAAAGTGTTATGATGAAATGGAAGATATTTCTCACCTTGTGTTTGTGAACCGGTTGAGAAACATTTCTCATATCCCAACCAGCAATATATTGATCACTGCTGCCAGTGATTAGGTGAACGTTAGAAAATGATTGTTTTGGCGAATGGTTTAGGTCAGCAGGTAATGAATTAGTTTGTATATTCAGTTTGTTACAACTTATTTCGTCTGAATTACACTTTGCGAGACTGGGTTCACTACTGTCCAGTACAACACTTTCCATTTCAAATGGATCAATCATACAGTCTTCAAAATTTTCTTCACTTGCTGTTACAGATGACAACTCTGAATGATAATCATATTCTACACATATCTGGTCACAGCTATTACCGCTACCACTAATACAGTTTTTCACAGAAGTACAGCTTCTTGAAACAGCTGAACGCAAACCATTTTCATATATAGCATCTATGCAAAGAACAGCGTTTTTATGACACATACGATTCGATGGATTTTGTTCAAACGAACGAATATCCAATAGATAAACATTTCGATCATGTGTACCAACTGCCAAAGTATTGGAATCCAAAAAGCTTGAACACAGTACAGGAGTGCCTAATCTGTAGATAGTAAATGAATGGACAAAACGCACTATCGTCTACGACAAAGATTCAATAGAACAATAATGCGATGATAGGGGATAATACAAATTTATGAGCAGTTATATTTATCTTAAAAGGTAATAAACACTCCTATTAACCCCATTGTGCTAACTGACAAGTAACATTTATTGGTCAATTTGTGCAATATAACTGTTAGATCATAAACTGCAAAACGTGATACTTTCAAAACTTGTTGGCATCGAATAAACAATAATAAAGCACAGTGGATTAAAAAAACTTATCTGACAGTAGCGAAACACAGGATGCACTCAGATGATTAGATTGTCACTAACTTCAAGTACTATGCCAAAGCTGACCTTTTATGATGTAAAAAACTAAATCATAATAAAGGAACAAAGTGACTATAAAAAACAACCTATTATCATTTACTTTTCGTAGAACTTACTGATAAATTGATTGGAATGCGAGGCCAGAATTTGTCAACTTCCATACTCTTAAAGCACCATCCCATGAACCTGTTATGACAGCATCATCTGTTGAATTGATAGTCCATATCCAACCCTGAAATATAATTATCACATTAAATGAAGTATTTATTTATTTGAACACATGAATATTGGTACAGTGAGGCAACAAATATATGCGCCACACAAACAATGAGAATTGTAAGACAAAAATAGGAAAGAAAGCAGCGTAAAAAAGGAATATAACGAACAGATTAGTGCAAGATACTGTAATAATAATAATAATAATAATAATAATAATAACAATAATAATAATGCAGGTGCTGCTTCCAACTCATTAGCACGGTACGACCACCAGGTTTCTCGGTCCTTAAGCAAGCTTTACCCGATTTCACTACATAGGAGTCTTCTTTGTGGTCAAACTCAAACACCAACAAACAAGTGATTTTTACCTTGGATCACGTTGTACGTCAGCATACCGAAACTAACGAATTCCTACGATATTTTGCATTACACCCTATCGCCCCCAAATGCCCTAGTATGGAGTGGGCCCGTCATGCACCTGCATCTGGTAACTACCGGAAGCTCTTCCAACTCATCCGAGCCAGGGAAGTCCTACTCATTGCCTTCTCGTGGCGGGGGTGTTGTTTACGAAAATGAGAGGACGAAAAGCGAATGTCCGGCGCTTTAACCGGATTCCAAACTGATGGTGCACATGGGCTCCAGTATCCTGCGGGAACAAATGGCGTATGAACCAATCGTTGGTCACCGGCTACCATGGGATTGCATCTCCTTACGATGCTCCACTGCCTTGTGGGTTAGACCATTAGGTCAAAGGCTCGGGGTGTGGCCCCCTAAGATAACCACCTGTTTCGGTTTGGGCACCCGGGCAGTATCACAGCCCACACACAAACGATGAATTCTATGACTATGGCAACTAATTTTCTCGCTCTGATAAACAATCGATCGATTCAAATAATTATTACTATTATTGTCATTATTATTATTATTTTCCACATTGTTCACCCTCTTTTATACTTATACAGCGGCTCGTCTTTGGTGGAAATTCGACTGCACCCCAAGCCTGGACTAAGATTGATCACATCGCGATCAGCTACCGCTGGCGTGGTTGTGTAAAAGACTGCCGCTTCTTTTGGAGTACCTATCTGGACTCTGACCATGCCTTGGTCTGCGCCAATCTTGCCTTACTTTTCAGTGGACAACGAAGTGACCGCCATCAAAAGATTGATATTAGCAAGCTGGTTGCAACTTCTGTTACAAATAAGTATCGAACCGAGTTAGCCTCTAGGTTAGCTACCACTCCACCGAAAAGTATAGATGAGCATTGGTTGCAATTGCATGACGCCATGAAAATGGCGGGAACAGTCAGTTGTGGGTTTGCGAAACGTCCCGCTTTTAAGCACTGGGTTTCTTCTGGTTCCTTACAACTCATTGAAGCCCGTCGGTCGACTCCGGGTGACCGTGAGTTTGACCATAAACGAAAGATGTTACGTAAGGAATTTGGGCAAAGCTTGCGTAAGGACCGAGAAGCCTGGTGGTCGGAGCGTGCTAATGAGCTGGAAGCAGCAGCTGCATCTGGTAACTACCGGAAGCTCTTCCAACTCATCCGAGCCACTGGCAGCAAGAAGTCTGGTGTGAGTGAAACAATCTGCGAGGATGATGGGATGCCAATCACTAACATCCATCGACGTCTTGGACGATGGGCAGAATTTTTCGAAGGGCAGTTCAACTGGCCTGCTGCTCCGGCAACATCGGTCAGACTGTCCTGCCCTCCATGGCCGGTGACGACTGATCCACCAAACGAGGAGGGAGTCCGCAAGGAACTCCAACTCTTGAAGCGTTACAAATCACCTGGCCCAGATGACTTACCTCCGGCTCTTTTTAAAGATGGTGGTGACTTTTTGACTAAGGAATTGACGACGTTGTTTACAAAGGTTTGGGAATTAGAGAGTGTACCAACGTCATGGAATGAGTCGATAGTTGTCCCTATCTTTAAAAAGGGTTCACGTCGTTCCTGCAACAACTATCGGGGGATAAGTCTACTTCCGATTGCGTCCAAGCTATTGGCTTCCGTCATACTTCGTAGGTTATTCAAAACCCGAGAAAGATTGACTCGCGAGGAGCAGGCTGGGTTTCGTTCTGGTCGAGGTTGTATTGATCATATCTTCACCCTCCGCCAAATGTTAGAACATCGCCATACTTATCAAAGGCCAACAATCGTAGTGTTTCTTGACATCAGGGCTGCCTTCGATTCGTTGGACAGGACTGTTCTCTGGAATCGTCTATTGAAGAAGGGTGTGCCTGAGAAGTTTATTAACATCCTAAAAGCCCTATATGCAAACACCTCAGGCAGAGTGAGGGCATACAACCACTGTGGTGTGAGCTACTTATATTGACATAAGTAGTATATAACGTGCGTTAAAAGATCGTAATACTCGGCAGCAAAAGATGGCGAAGACCAAGAAAGGTGGAGCGAGAACATAACGCAATTTGTAAGAAAACCTATGAACAATGGAATGGGAGACAATGGATTAGTATTTGCAACTTGAACAGTACAGTTTGATATGATGTATTGATAATTTGCAAATTGACGATTGACTTTATGGTATTCAGATTTTGTTGAGATAGTCTGTAATTTCCGTGCTAAATTCATTCGATTGTCCCCACCTGTGTTCTTGTTCACTACATTTGGTGTCGCTGCCAACCGGGAGAGGAGGAGGGTGCTGTTCTGCGGACGCCGTTGCGGGCCTGGGGCTGAGGTGCCAGTTGGGGCAGTCTGGTGCGGAGAGGCGGCGTCTGGTGGAGTGTTCTGGCGGGGCGGCGTTGGCTGTAGTGGATGCTGTCGGCGGAGAGGAGCGGTGGGACGCGCGGCTGCTGGGCGGACATCGAATGTAGATGGCTCAGCAGGCCGGTGGAGTACGGGTGTCAAGCGTCCCAGGTGCCGGGTGGATGTCGGTTGTTGTTTTCCCGGCAGGTCGACGGAGCTACGGAAGTCAGCGCCCCGCAGACTCGACATTTTGACGGAGAGCGTGGCACAGGCTGCAGAGACGGAGAATGTTGCACGGCGAGCACGAACCACCACAAGAACGACTGCTTTAAAGGGGGGGACGAGTGTGGTGTGAGCTACTTATATTGACATAAGTAGTATATAACGTGCGTTAAAAGATCGTAATACTCGGCAGCAAAAGATGGCGAAGACCAAGAAAGGTGGAGCGAGAACATAACGCAATTTGTAAGAAAACCTATGAACAATGGAATGGGAGACAATGGATTAGTATTTGCAACTTGAACAGTACAGTTTGATATGATGTATTGATAATTTGCAAATTGACGATTGACTTTATGGTATTCAGATTTTGTTGAGATAGTCTGTAATTTCCGTGCTAAATTCATTCGATTGTCCCCACCTGTGTTCTTGTTCACTACACCACCTCTCTCCATTGTTCCATTCGAGTAGTGGGGTTAGGCAGGGTTGCCCAATCTCACCATTCCTCTTCACCTTTGCCATCGATGACATTCTGGAAACAGCTCTGATGAATGTAAGTAATGGTGGTGTGGATCTGTTGCCTGGAGAAAGACTTCTCGACCTTGAGTATGCGGACGATATTGTCTTACTGTGCGATAATGCCCAAGGCATGCAATCCGCAATTAATCAGTTGGCAATCAGTGTCCGTAGGTATGGTATGTGCCTTGCACCTTCGAAGTGCAAAGTACTTCTACAAGACTGGCAGGATGAGATCAATTCACGTATAGTGAAAGCCAGAGCGGCTTATGCCAATCTGGGCCACCTTTGGCGCCTTCGTGATGTCAGTCTGGCTGTAAAAGGTCGGATCTACAACGCATCGGTGAGAGCAGTTTTGCTCTATGCTTGTGAAACCTGGCCTCTCCGAGTTGAGGACGTTAGACGACTCTCTGTGTTCGATCATCGCTGTCTCCGAAGGATTGCTGACATTCAGTGGCAACACCATGTCAGTAATGCAGAGGTTCGGCATCGTGTGATGATAATTCAATTGGTGTCACCATCTTGAAACACCGACTTCGGTGGCTTGGACATGTTCTACGAATGTCGTCCCAGAGAATTCCACGTCGTGCATTATTTGCCGACTCTGGGACTGGTTAGAAAAAGCGGAGAGGTGGTCAGTGCTTGACATGGTGTCGTGGTATGAAAGAAAGCTGCAAAGGACTGGCTTCTGTCGGTCCTTCACGACTCCCTGGTTGGGGTCTGAGAGATGGTGCTACACAGTGGCTAGAGACGTTATCAGATATGGCTCAGAATAGAAGCCGGTGGCGATCCTGCTGTAACCTTCTTTTACTTTCTTCATAAAAAGTGGTTGTGTCTCCCTTACTTGAAAGATTTCTTCTGATTGTACCTTTCCGTTCCATCGTTACGACCACACTACCTTACACCAATCTCTTCGTTATCGTTCTCTTTTACTTTTGTGCTCCTTAGTTTTTTTTTTCTATCTCTCTTCGAATTTTCACTGTTTTGTGTGGCGCATATATATTGGCGCTCTCCTGTACCAATGTTTATGTGTTCAAATAAATAAATAAATAAATAAGAGACGTGAACCTGTTGTAACCTTATTTTACTTTATTCATAAAAATTGACCGTAACTTCTTTAACTGAAAGAATTCTTCCTGGTTGTACCTTTCTATTTCCCGTATTATTGCTACTATTTCATTACCGTATACCGATTTGTGGTCGTTATTGTTCTTTTTTCTTTGTATACGCACCTTACATCCTTTATCTCTTCCCATTTTCATTATTATAGTGTGGCGCATATGTATCTGGTGCCCGCTTGTACCGACATTTATGTGTTCAAATGAATAAATAAATTATTAATAGTGAAATGTGTTCTTGGAAAGTCTCTTGTTTCGAATGGAATATATTTAAATAGACTTTAAGCTACACAGAAAAGGCTTGAATTTTGACTCAGTAATGTTCAGAATATAAGTGGCTGGTTTTCTGAGCAACTCCTACTGATTGCTCTACAAATATCCATAATCTTCTCAGCACCTCAATATTTTTTTCAAGAACGTAGGACATATGTTCTTCGGTTTATTTAATTCCTCAGA